GTGAGGTTCGATAAGGAGGGGTTTCTCGATTGTTTTTTCTCATGCTGACATAAATGTGAGAAAATTTTATCCAGTTTGTATATGTTAATGGAATTTTTGCTTTGCTTTATCATCACTACAAATGATTAATTCGACGCGAACGAAGTCGCGGGTACACACCAGTTAATAAAAACCATCTATAAAAGAATGAAAAGGGACGACCATAGAAACGTGTTTGATTTTTAGGACTTCCAGGAAAAATTTTCTTCCATATTTTCATGTTTTTTTTTACTTTTCTCTAAAACGGTATGGAAATTTGGAAAAGTATAAACGGAATTAACCAATTTAGAACAAGCAAAAATTTTAATGAAAAATGCATTTTTCTTCAAAATGTCAATAATAAAAAAGTTTTTCTTCATCCTACTAATACCGGTAAATTGAAAAATCGGTAAATTTGTATTTTAATGCTTAGTCAAATCCATGTAGATCAGGGTTGCCACAAGCTACACAATGGGCTCTTTCACAAAAAATTAAATACCCAATTCAAGGACAAAATCTGAAATAGAAGACTATTTTCAGTATATTTATCCAAAAAAAATAGTTTCACGACATTGAATAATTTTTTTATAGGCCCTCAAAATTGCTTTAATTTGAAATAATTTTAAAGCGCCAATTGATGACGTATGAAAAATACACCCAATCACAATGAAGAGCCGTACTCGTGCGCCAGCCAACAACTGGCAACATTGCGATTTGATTTGACCAGCACTACCTCAACTCAAGGCCAATCAACATGATATGGGCAAGGCAAATATGGCGGCGAAGGCAGCGCATTATTAAATTGTTTACCTTTAACCTGAAAAACCGTTAGAGGTTTCTTGTTCCGATTGCATACCAGAAATAATTAATTATCTCTAGTTTGTTGTGCTTCTGCAACACGTTTGTTTAGTTCTTAGTGTTCAGTGCATGGTGTGATCAGAAAATTGTGATAAAATAACACACAGTTTAATAAAAATCCAAATAGACATTCCACATAGAGAACTTCAAACTTTTGTGCTTGTCGTACTCCTCTATTATAAATTATTTTAAGGTAAGAACTAGAAGTATTTATCAAGATATTACACCTAAATGAGTAAAAAGCCTTCGCCGCCAGTCTGCATAGTACTTTATAATGGTTACTTACAATAATCAAAAGATAGGTATTAAAGAACATAGCCATAATGTCACGATTCTTCAGACATGAAGAGACAACGAAGAAGAAGAAGAAGGTATTAAAGGGTTAACATTTTATTGTAGCATGCCTTTTACATGCTCTGTTCTAAATTGTCACGGGAATTATAGAGGGACTCCCAAGGTTTCTGCTTTTATATTCCCCAAAAATGACGAGCTTTATAAAAAATGGCTGACAGCTATTAAAAGAGATAATTGCACTCCTACTAGTAGTTCTCGAGTAAGAAGTGCATTAAATATGCCTCAAAAAGGCTAAAAGCCAAAGCCTCTGTGACCCTAGTGAGGATGTAGTTATGGCTACTGCTTACACTTACCTCACTATAAGTAAAATATTGGAAGAAGAATCAAGCTTTTTACATGAAAAAGATCACAGAAAGATATTGACAACATTGACATTTGAAAATATAAATGGCCTAGATGTAAGTCTTTTTTTAGGTCACAATTGCCCCTCACATACGTCAGAATTTATTATTAAATCCATCTTGTTCAGAATATCAAATATTTTATTCGTCTTTACCACAAAGACAATGCCCTATGTAAAGAGAAAGAGTAAAGAAAACTAAGCTAAGCGCAAGCTTTACTTACGAACCCCCAAAAATGTATTTAGTTTTTTTTTCTATATAAAATCTTGAAACACATATTATATTTTTTTATTTATCCTCACCTATTATAGTTTAAATTTATTCCCATTTGTGTAATGCTGCAAAATATAGAAAAACATTCCATATTTTTTGACCCAAGTCAGTGCAGATTATAATTCGAAGAGCATTTACCAAGGCTTTTACTAAGACAAGTAACTTCCTATACTATCCATAATAGTATATATTTATCAAACGTTCAGTAAATTCTAAACTATGGTAGGTAAGCGTTTGCAATTGAATATTTAGTTTATATTACTTTTTCTGTCATATATTTCTGGTTATTTCTTTTTCCGATGATTTTGAACACCCTATATATGCTACTTCAAGTTTGAATATTTTAACACTACCTATTTTCTGAGAAAGCAGACCTTTTTATAAAAATTAACTAACTGATGTTTTCATAAAAGCCTTGTTTATATATTCTTTAAGTTGCCCAACCGACTAGACAAAATGTGCTGCCAACTGGAGGACAAATCGTGAACCTTTCGGGGCGGAGTCAAAAATATCGATTATTTTCGTTATTTTCCTCAGAGTAATGTAATAACATAGCCCAGGGTTTCTGCGAACTTTAATAGTGATCAGCTGATTAAGAAATTTAAACGAAACTTTTATTTTATTGTAAATTGTGGATTATTTTTACCTGTTATTTTAAGAATTCTAAACCGTATTAACAAAGAAATTATTATTTCGATATGTTGGTACATTATTTATAATTTATGATAATGCTAATTGCTGTTAATTAATATTTAAAAAATAGTTACATACCTATTTTAATTTGATTTAATGCAGGTTTATAAAAGAATCATTTCATTCTTAGATTATTTTATTCTAAATTGAGTGCTTTACGAATTTTATGATATTTTTTTGAAAACATGAAACTTTTTACATTTTTGATGCCAACTAATTGGCATGGTATTATTGGTATGGAAATTAGCCAAGAAAGAAAAGAATTGGCTATAACTTGTAATTTTTCGAAAAAACATATTATACCTATATCGCTGAAAAGCTTAAAAATGGCGCTTTTATGAAGTCATGGCCAACTATGGTTTCCATTTAAAAACATAATGTTTGTGTCATATGTCAAAAAAATGACAGGCTTTAGAAAAAAACAGAAAACACAAACTCATTAGGTATGTGATTATCTACAACTTTTATCTGAAAAGTTTTTGTCTAAAATACCGTATGATCGAATAAAAACGGCTTCAGCTATGGCTATGAAATGACGATCGATGATATTTCCCATATAATTTTACATAGGTATAAAATGACAGCGATTTTCATTTCATGGCCATCGTTGACGCAGTTTTTATTCGATCATACGGTAGATTATAATGGAATTAGAGAGAAAGTTTTAAAATAGTCAAAATTTTTTTTTTCGAAATATCTAGTAAGCCTTGAATTTCTCCGAAAAATCCGAAAGGCGCATATTTATGACCCCACAAAACTGCAATTCTTTCCCCATTTAACCGACTCTCTATCTCCAGTCTCCAGTAGTTTCCGAGATACCCATAGAGAACATCGTAGGAAACTCACCCTGTTTAGTATTTAGAAACTAACTATTATTATTATTTGACTAGATTAATTTGATTAATAAAACTCTATTAATTTAATTTAAAATAAATTTGATCAGATTTTTTCTTCGTATATTCTACTACCAAAACCAAAATTATATGATAACGCACTTTTCAACGAAGTTGAAGGAAGAGATATAGTGTACCTATCACAATACTTAATAGAATTACTACAATTAGAAGAAAAACAAAAAGAAAAAGTACCCAAATACCTTCACCTACTACTCATCTACAAAATAAACTAATATAATCCCCTATAAAAACACTACACAACTACTTCTTCACTACTTCAACCACTTCTACACTGAAAAAATTATCAAACTTACTAATTAATCAAACAAAAAGAAAAAATAACCAAATTATCCTTTCACCTACTACTTAACTGCAAAATAATAAACTATAAAAACACTACTAAACTATTTCTGGTATTCTACACTAAACATTATAATTAAACTTAATAAAATTAATCTAATTTTACACTACAACCACTACAACTACAAAGAAATAACATTTTTTAAAACTAGAAGAAACAGAACCTCGATACGCGCAACCAGTATAATAGATCAAGCGGACAAAGAATATAAAATACTTTAAAAATGTGCATTCAGAAAGAAAAAATATCTCGAAAATTATCTAAACAAAATTTTTTTTTTCTTATCAGTGAAAAGCATCGGCCTCGTCGGCCTTGCGAAATTTGTCGGGTATTTACAATGGTCGAATTGTATAATTACCAGCTTTTATAGCATATCTAATAGACAAAAAGTATCTGGTTGATTAGTAACCAATTGGCACAGTCCGAAAATTATCGATTTTTATTTTCTCTGTTTTTATTGGTCGCTTCAAAATTTAGAGTAACAAAAAATATTTTTCTGTAGTAAAAGACTGTGAAATACGCCCCGCCATCTGGTGCTTTACATCCATAAACGTCTTAGGTTGAGCTACTTTAAAAATTCATATACAAGGATAAAAGTAATAATACAAAAAATTCCATACTTATGTGGAGAACTTTAGACTCCCTGTATATTAAAAAATTAGTGAAATATTACATAATCTAAACCGACATTTGTGTGAAAAATGTCTATTTGGAAATAAAACATGTTTTAAAATACGCGCCAAATAAAGCACTTCTATCTCCGCCATATTGGAAAAGGTTGAATGGCCTTGTGTGGAGGTGGTGATGGGCCAGCATGGTGGCCCGGCCGCGGCCCTGTTGCCGCTTTTCAACATGCCAGGTGTGACGTATTAAAAATAAAGTGCGGATTTTTATTCTGGGCTTTTTTGTTTTTATTTATTTTCTTAAGAACGACTTCAAATTTTTCGAAAGTGAGATAGCAGAAAATTCTAGAATTAACTGCTTTATTCAATTTTGCTAATTCTTAAATATAGTGAAAGAGCCCATTGTGTACTTTGCTACACATTTGCTTCAATGATTACACAGCTGTACCACAATCGCCTTGATCTACACATTTTGAGAATTTACATATTTTGTATAAAAAATAATAGCAAAACAGTAAATCAGCTGACAAAAGCTATTTTTTTTATTAGTTAATTAAGTTATCTAAGCAAAGTCTACTTCTAGGTTTACGAGATGTATGTAGCAGGCTACGAATTCTTCGTACTCTCGCCGATTTTTACGTGCCATTGGGGTCTTCAAGTAAAAAGGACGCGTCCCCCTTGGAGAGAACACCAAAACAACCAGAACAGAAAGCAATTCGACAGTTTCAAAAAAGAAATCTTTGCACGATATAATAAGGATCCTTTACATATGATGTCACCAAAGTAAAACGATATTTTATGATTTTTGTACGTATTTGTCTCGAAAATAAAAGTTTACTTTTTGTTAATGGCTTGTTAATAAACATATTATCTTTATAATATACTTGTATGCCAAAATTTTTGTAGAAAACGATTTAAAGTTAAAATTTTGCCAAAATCAAAAAATGCAAGAATCCCGCTAACAGTAATAAGTACCTAGGTAGCTAAACGACCAGTCAGGCCTATACGGATAGAGCTAGTGGATCCCTATAATGGCTCCATTTAAACTTTGTTTCGAAAATTTTCAAACATTTTCTCGTCCAAAATCGAGCTTTTTTGGCTTATTCCAATTTAAAAGATTTTTGGGCGTGTATCGATGCAAATTAATTAGTTAAATTTTTTAGTATACACACACAGATAACACATAATCATAATTATGTGTTATCTGTGATACACAGTTCGTCAAAAAAGTATATACAGGATGAGAAAAAAATTCTTAAATATATAATATGTTTATTTTTTTAAACTTTGATGCCCGGATAAACAAAGCGGGTATACCAACAAAGCACCTTTATACAGAGGTAAATTGTATTCAATGAACTTATTTTAGTAGTTCTATATCTACGGAATATTGGGACATCCTGTATATCTCTGGCATTATCTCTGGTAAAATAAATTTCATATCTGAGTTATTTGGCCATGATTTGGCCCACCATATTTACCAACCATAAAATTTATAATAATTTATAATTTTCAGAATAACTATAATATTATAAAAATAGGTAGCTATATTATTTAAAACTATTCGAAGTGAGATGAATATTTTTAAATTTAATTTTTTTGAGTTCAAATATATTTTGTTTTTGGGTTGAAAACAATGACATCGAAATAAATTAGACCCGGCGACTTACATTTTGGCGAAATCCATCATTGCCTTAGAAAATTGCATGTATGCCAAATTTCCATTTCGACCGCATTTAAAAGGAAATCTTACCTACGTATACGTACGGGGATAGCTAACTCACATTGTAAACCAGGAATTCCAAATATAGATTACGTACGTAGAATAATACTTTAAACCGATAATAGTTAAAGGTAGCCTAGTATCACAAACTACTCCCAATCAGCATTAGCCGTTATTTAAATCTTCTGTAATTATAATTTTTAGATTTTAAGAAATTTAACATAAAACAATCGACAACGTCGCAACGCCAGCTGATACTGAAAACGTACGCATTTTACTATCTTTACTCCTAAATTCAGGCAGCCAACAAAACATCCAGTTCAAATTCGTTCATAAATTGCTTTACGGCGTTGCCAATGTGTTGTGGTTTTTCGAAATATTTTATGAGGTGATTTCCAGATATTTTAGTGTTTTGTGGTATTATTTTTAGTGATTTTATTCAGAAACAATAAGACAATGGTGCGAACTTGCTTAATTTGCAAAAATAGAGACGATTTAAACCTAGAAGTTTGATTTCGAAAGTGAGTAAGGCTATGTTACATCAGTGCGGTGCCGAAAGGTAAAATAGGAAAAAATCTTTGGAAATATTAGTAAATCACACAGTTTTGGAATGTACCGTTATTCGGTATTATAGTAATGAACCATTACATTAAGTTAGTTTCGTCACGTTTGATTTTATTGAATATCTTGATCATAATATTTAAATATTATCAAAACCAAGTATACAAATGCGAATACCTAATTAATTTGTTGAAAAAATATATAAAAAAATTAAAGATGTCACAATTACGAAAAATGTTCAATAGTGATATACCATATGATCGAAAAAAAAACGGCGTGTATGGGGAATGTCATCGAAGTTCATTTCTAAGCCAACTGGACGCCTTTTTTTTCGATCATACTGATGGTTATTAGGATTTTTAATTAAAGATGATTTTTTAAGTGTAAAAGCAAAATAGATTTATATAATGGATATTACATATTAAATACCGTATGATCGAAAAAAAAACGGCGTCAAAGACTGCTGGGAATAACAATCGAATATAATTTTGGCGAGGTCTATTTCTAGATGTCATTTATTAAAAATTGACATAAAACTTGTCAAAAACTAATACTGATTATAGACAAATTATAAAAGGATAGAACGTTTCCAGAAACACAAATCGACATCCAAAAAAAAAATTTCGAATTTATATTACACCATTTAAAAATCAAATACAACCTTAAGGCGTACTACTGCCAGTAAGTGTCATTAAAAAATAAACAAGAGTAGGGGTCATGACATATCACCTTGCCAAAATTATCACCGATTGTCATTTTTGACGCCGTTTTTTTTTGATTGTATAATTTTTGTAATAGAGAAATGTATTTTTTGTTTTGTTTATTAAGACTAAAAAAAATTATATGGTTTAAAAGATGAATGCGTCTTTGTTTGATATGGTTTATTGACTAGTTAATTATTTATTCAGTACAAGGTCCCGATTATCCGCGAAGAAACTGATCCAGAAATAAGTAAATATTTTAGAAATTTTCTTTTGTTTAACAACGATCTTTATTATTGTTGTTATAAATAGTAATATTTTTATACCTAATATTAAATTGCAATTCGTCACGACAGTTTTAAAATATTCTCATTTTTCACCGTTGCTTCAATCAAAATAATACCATTAATTCACATAAATGTTTTATAAAAGTCGTCTTCGGCTCGTATTCATTGAACGCTTGATGGATTATATTACTACTGGAGCAATTTACAGACATTACTGTGGAAATGTGCATATTATAATTTCAATTAGTTATTTTCGTATAGAAGTGATTGGAGTATAGAAGTAGTCATTTTCAAAATTTGAAGAGCCATCTAGCACAACAATATATCGTATCCAAAAATCATATTTACGAGAATATAATATTAAATTATATATTACAATCAAAGTAACTACGCCACTGGCACACATTCTCAAGATCTCTGAACAGCGTTGCCATTCTCTCGGGAATCCTTCATGACTGTGATCAGCCCGTCTTGTTCCCACTCGCATAGAACAAGAAACGAATGTCTGATTCTGATCTTTTTCTTTTTATGAATGAAATGCCGGGTCTACTTTATTTAGAGGTCATTGGTTGAAAACATCTCTTCTGAGGTATAAAATACCATATACCTATTACTTTTTACAAATATACTCAGCCTAATCTCCAAAAAGTGAAGCCCAAACAGTGAAAGAACAATATGGAATTCTGCATAAGTCTATTTCACCCGGATATTCATTTAACTGAGCATGCCTCACCTGAAGAAGTTTTCATTGGTCGATGTTTTTAAAGGGAAGTGGTTGACTGACATTTCCCCTAACCTTCAATTTGATTTATATTTTTATTATTTATAACACATTATCATGGAGTTGGAAAAATATAAAAAAATAGTTGGAAACAATAAACTAAACAAAATCACTCTTTTACGCGCACAAATAAAAAGTAATACAAACAGAACTAAAACAACAATCAATCGGAGTTTGGCGCAATCGCAGTTCAATCCATATCCGGGTGAAATAGACTTATGCAGTTTTAATATGGAGCTGGGTTATGTTGTCTTTTTCTTACGGCACAGAAATTGCACACGGGGTTAAATAGGGAACCCTGAGTATATTTGTAAAAAGTAATACGTATATGTAAAATACAACTGAAAATGCATGGTGCATGGCATGCGCAAGCGCAACACCAAAGAGCGAGATGTTTCAGACTAGTGATAGTGATGGGATATCGACGCAAAACATCGATGTCTTGAAATTATGGAATTATTCAATAAACAAATAACAATTTTTAATACAAGATATAAACAAGGATACAAGTAAGCTGTGATACAAATAATGTTATACAGGGTATGGCAAAAGTGCGTCGGGTTAGGGCAGTGGCGTGCGGTGAAATTTATACAAGGGGAATCGATTCGATCAATGACTAAATAATACAAGGACAAATAGCAACCGAGACCAAACTGTGACCATTATTCCAAACAGTGCCGTGGCACATATATTTCTTAACATAGCCGCTTGAAGCGATATTTATATTTTTGGTAAATGTTTTCACTACGCCTCTGGTGTGTCCTGTGCAGTACGTAATTTACCTGATTAACTACGTGTAGTTTTTCTTCAAAAACTACGTCTTTTCCCGTTCATTAACTACATGAAAACTACGTTAATAAACTATGTAGTGATATTATGAATAATTTTCCTTTCTATGAGGTGTAATAGAGATAATATGATGTAAATATTATATTTAAAGCCATATTTCTTCTGTTTTCTTAAATTCATTATGTGTTTTTAAAGCTTCAACTTATTATAACCTCATCTCAAACCTTTGATATTTGAAAGTTACATACATAGGTTACATAAACTACACCCTCTACATAAACTACATTAACTACATGTAATGTAGTTTATGTAGTTTTTAAAAGTAACATGTAGTTTTCCGAACCCTGGTCCGAAACGTATTAAAACGTATTAAAACTTTAACGAAAGGTACAAAATTAGTATCGACGTATAGCACATATCAAATACATATATCAGAAAAGTAATTATCGAATTCAATAAAAAAAACGCTAAAAAGGTGTAGTGGACTGTTTATTTCCCTATAAAACGTAACTCCTGGCTCATTCCTACCATTGCGCCTTTTACACTTGAAAGTTGAACAAATTCCCATTGTAATAAAGTTTATACAAAGTTCACTACACACAACCAACTATTAAAAATCGCTAAAATTTTCGCTGATGACCGCAGCTGATGATTCATTCGTTATGTCCAAAAAAATGGCGTCTAAAGGTCACAAATTTTGCTGCAGCCCGTATATGGCCGTTACATGTCCTTGTATTCTTTAGTCATTGGATTCGATAAAGTTAATAAAAAAAGTCGAAAAATATGTTTAACAGATCACATATAAACCACTACCTAGATTCATATTACTTGCTATGAATTATTAATTAAAAAGCTTGGTCTCAACCATAGAGTCTCAACCTTGGCTCAACGTAACCTAACCTCCCCCGCTTCCATGGACCGCACGCGCCTGGGTTAGGGTTAATATCTGTAGCTCCTAAACTGTATTCAAATTCAAAATGCACCAGTATAAACAAATGCACAGTGC